GACAGAGTAATGTGGCTGAGAGAAAGGCAAAGTTCATTTTGGTTTTGCTCTTTAAAAGCAAGCCTTCATTTCTGCAAGGTTTCAGAGAGCAACGGAAAATAATTGTTCCCCCTTAAAAGCTTGGAAATTGAGAAACTATAAAGCTACAGCAGCTAATTAGAAAAAACATAAGTAGTGTGCTAAATAAGCCAGCCCTGTGATTTGAGGATCTGAACAATGAAACCTAGCAAGACTGTAACAGTAATGCAGGAAGAAAACTCTTCCCCTTGGTGAGTGGTGTAGCTAATGCATGTTTAGAGGCTTATGTCACAGGCTCAAGACAGTTCCAAATGCACACTTAAACAAGAGATCTGCCAATTTGTTAAATAAAAATCCTCACATTTTTCTACTCAGTAGTATTCTGCAACTGCAATACATCTCAGTCAGCAGCACTAAGTTCACCATTGCTGGTCCAACATCAGAGATAAGTTATTAATGCCATTTTGAACTGAATACTTCAAGTAGGCTGCTTCTAAAGGGCACACATTTTATGATTTCAGGTAATTATTTCCCCAATATTTGTATGTACTCACCTCCCCACCCAAAGCATAGATATCACAACATTGCACATCACCTATCAGAAAATATAGATGGATCCCAGAAATGCAGTAGTATCTATGGAATGAAATGCTTGTTACCCTGGACAAGTACAGTATTTAAAAACTTGCAGCAAAACACATAGAACATACATTGCAGCAAACATCATGGTTGTTTGGGGGCACTGTGTTTCAGAACCTCACTTTGTAAAATTACACAGCAAAAACATACTGATGAGGAACCCTATTTTAGAATATTTCTTATGACAAACTCAAGTAACAAGCTGTGTGAGATGTAACACTTGAAGAAAATGAAGTACAATTGAAAACATACATCATTTGTGGAAGTGCTTTCTTAAAAGCAGAGTAAAGACCTAACCACAGGTTACAGGCCTTTGGCAGACTCCATCACTGCTGGAAAGTGAACTAAATAGCAAAAGAAGGCAGCTTTCTGTGGTCAGTGGAAAAACTCCAGACCCACAGCAGCTGATCTACTGTTCATCAGCTCCCGATCACCGAATCAGAACCACAGAACACTCAAGGCTGAAAGAGACCTCTGAAGCACAGATAAAAGAGACCTCTGAAGCACAGATAAAAGTTGCAACAGGTTTGTGCTTAGTGATTCTCACTTCCCTCTAGATGTAGACTGGGAACCCAAGGCAAAAGCCAGAAGTAGGCATTGAAACTTTCATTTACATGACTGAGATATGTGCTAAAGTGAGCGATTTCCAGCTGCATCATCAATTTTCTACTACAATCCAAGCAGGGTGTGAAAAGCTAATTTCATATACTCTACAACATTATCTCAAATGAAGGTACCAGTCTACTTCCTTTTCCTCCTCCTTTTCAAACAACCACTTCGCCACCCACCTGCACTTCTGTTAATCAAAATGCTTAACTGAGAAAGAAAAAAAAAAATCCGTATATGTTGACAAATACCTGACTCATCCTTAAAATACATAATGCAATAGAAATATTTAATGGACTCATCTTCAAAAATGTAGAAAAGGATCTACTATTAAAGAATATAGAGGTTTTCTTTTTGCCACCATTGCAAGCAGGAGGTTGAATTAATTCTCTCCTAACTCCCAGGAGTCAGGACACATGGAGGGGAAGCGAGAACAGTTTAAGTAAGGTGTGTTCCAGAAGACCTATGATGGAACTAGCCACATCACAACTGGCACCCAACAATTACCAGCAAAATCATTATTTAGTTGCATAGATATGCAAACAAAAAGGAAAAAAAATTGTTGTTTTTCAAGAGTCTCTACCCACCTACACACAAAGGTAGTATTTCCTTTTATTTGCTAAAGCAGACCCACCTACAGTGCAATTTACGGCAATAAGATACAATCTTTCATAAAGTATCGACTATAATTAAAGTGTGTCTGTTATAAAGGTAAATAGAGTGTACTAAGCTAAGCTGTTCCAGATGTCTTTAGTGCAAGATCTGGGACAAGATCAAACCTGCAGCTGCACATTTTCTCAAGGGTTATTATAGAGCTTAAAAAAAAAAAAAAAATCACCCCTTGGTCTTGGGCTTCAGCAAAACCAGTGCAAGCAGAACAAATGCCACCTGCAGCTAATGCTGACAGATTCTAAGACACATAAAAGTTACATGTTCAAAGACACTCACTACAAAGTGTAGTGTTAACCATTCCAGTATCAAAGAGGGTTTAGGACCAAGTCTGCCAAGTTACCTGTGTCACCAGAAGTTACAGCAACATGAACCTGTTCTACTGCCTAAGCAAGTTTCTTGCTGAAACACACCTACGATGATTCAGACAAGGTGTGGAAAGCCAGGTTTATGTGTTACAGAAAAATGCACTATTGTATTTTTCCATTCAAGCACATTTTGTGTATAAAAAAGACAGTCAAAGCAAGCAAACTTTCAGGAACTGCATATATATACACTACTGGCATTAAATTATTATAAGTAACTTCGATCTTCTTGAGACGTATCATACAAACTTACAGATTTACTGTCTTAGTGGGACATTAAAGGAGCCAAAGAGCAAAATTACAGAAATCATAGGGAAAAAAAACTTTATTCACTTTATAATCCACTAATTAACCTCATCTGGAAAAGAGTGATACACAACAAGTACAGCTGATGTTATATGAAAATATAGTTTTGAAGATTTCAACTAGCTTTTAAGAATAATAAATGAGGAAAAAGTCAAGTTTTTTAATACCCATTATAGCAGTGAACCTGTAGATTAAAACATACCACGTGAATTTTGAAACTTTGATTAGCATTGCTATATTAAGTAGTATCCTTATCAGCCTACTCTTTAAGGCTTAAGAGAAATTTAGGGTAAAAGTAGACCCATCAAAATAACCAGAAGTCAGATCTTCCAAGGACTTACAGCAATCATCAACTCAAATACTCTGGTATTGCACAAAACTCTTTCAGAATTATGGGGTTCTCATTTCAAATGGTTCAGGTCCCTTTTGGGTTAGCTTTAAAACAAGCATGGAAACTTCCTAGTGAGTTCAAAGTGAAAGGCAAAATTAAAGCCTATCTCTATTTTCAAATCCGTTAAATCTGGTTGGCAAGTTTCCCCTGAAGAGCCCCTGCTCCCGAGGGCAGCACCTCACCTGTTGAAGAACCCGGTCCAGCGGTTCGGCTTTGCTCAGTCCCTCTGGCGTTAACGCACTGACTTCGCGACACTGGTCACTTAAGTCCAAGTTGTCTGCTTTCACCAGGGACTTGTGTAGTGTCCCTACCTAAAAACATTTAAGAAATTACGGACAAAAGTGAGGCCCAGTGGCATGAGCTCTTTAAAAGGCCGCGCTGGGCCTGCAGAGCGGTCAGAGGTGCGGGGGCCGCCCGACAACAGCCAGAACAGCGTTTGCCTACTTCACAAATCGGACCCTTCGGCCTCGCTCTCCTTCCCACCCGCCAGAGCCACACGCTCTGCTCTGGGGGGGCCGCGCCCGTTTCCGTGGGGTGCCTTTGCAGTTAGCACCCATTTTTGCGGGAGTTGTTAATTGCAAAGGGAAGATCACCTAATGTTAAGGCAGTTTCGTTAATCTATTAAGGAAATTGATAGCCGTGTTTGTTTGATCAAAGCCCTTCATCTCTAGGGGGCTCTTGTCTATGATAGGGCTTTTGGGGGGGGGGGGGGAAGGAAACTGGGGATTACTTTTAGATCGGCCTAAGAAAATAACTCAATAGTCTCTTAAAAGCTATCCAAATATTGGTTAAAAAGAAAGAAAGAAAGAAAGAAAGAAAAGGCTCCCGCAGCAGGCCGCAAAGGGTCCAGTGGTTACCGTGAGCCCGCTCCCAGGGAAGCGTGCGTGCTTGGAGCCACCCGGGGCAGCTTTTTGTTTTAAAGCTTCGGAAGTCCGTAGACATCCTCGAAGCTACACACGTTTTAAGGCGGACGGGGCAGTGAGGGGTGGGAAGCGACCAAACTTTCTTTAGAAGTTACTTCTTCCCTTCAGACGGAACAAAAAGGACCTTCCGGAGTGGGGGCCCCGGGCAGAGATTGACCCCCGGGCAGGGACTGACCCCCGGCACGGCCCCCGCCCTCCCCTCCCTCGGTGCGTTTGTGAAATGAACAAACGGCTCCGGGCAGGCGGCGAAGGGCCGGGGCAGCCCCTCGCCCCGCGCCCGGGGAACGCGCCCTCGGCCCGGATCGAAGCCATACCTTCTTGCTGTGTAGGTCCACAACTTGCCACACCAAGAGAATTAGTTCCCTCTCATCCGAACCCAGTTTAGCCCCATATGCACCAGCTGTTGCCCCAAACAACACCACCAAAGAGTCACTGTGCGAAGCCGTCATGACCACAGGGGGAAACAACTACAATCAAAAGCAGAGGTCAAAAAAAAAAAGAGAGAGAAAAAAAAAAGAAAAAGAAAGACACGCTGACAAACAAAACAAAAAAAAAACCCACAAGGCTCACCCCCAACCTCCAAGTAATCAAAGGGGAAAGGAGCAAACGAAGAGTCACAATATCAAGAGGAAAGAAAGAGCTATTTAAGGAGGTAGGGTGTTCGAGGAGAAAAACATGGAGAAAGCAAGCTCACATCTCTACCTGTTCCCGGTGCTCTCCTTCCCGGGGCTGATTGGGAGGTGGAATTAGCAAGCTGTGGGTTTCTTTCCCTCTGACATCATGGCAGAAGCTCAGCCTAGCCTTGGTGGTTTTTTTTTCCTCTCCTTTTTTTTTTTTCTTCCCCTTCCCCTCTCCTGAGTTACCTGCCCTTGGTGCAGCTCATGTGACTCTAGTCAATCTCCCAAAGGGACAAGGCCATTGGGCCTCTGAAAAAGGTGTAGGAGGGACGGAGGGAGAATCAACGCCTGGCTAATCTGGCCTGATTGGTTTTTGAGGAGATCAGAGGAGAACTCCCTTTCTCTCTCTTTAATTCTGCCCGCAGGAAGTGCCTCTACCTGGTTTCAGTTTTGCGGGCTCCGGCCCCTCGTGCGGGGGACACGGGGCTCTGAGCACTCCCGCCCGGCCCGTTTGCTCGGCAAATCTGGGGAGTACACGCGTAGAGTTGCTAAAACACAGTTTATGACTTAGCATTGAAATCCACGAAACAGAAGTCTCTACCTGCTCCTAATTAATTTCCTTTTGTGCACGTTGCTACGTGTGTATCCAGCAGCCCACGCCAACGTTAATGTGTAATAAAGGTGTAGTATTCTACAAGGGTTTTAAGGGATATTACAGACAGAAAGTACTTTGTATTTTAGGCCCTATTCTCTAGTTTGTAAAGGTGGGTCCTAGGAAAATATTTTTTTGTTTGTTTTGAGAGAGAGTGTATGTAGGAAGTTTTGCAAAACAGCAATATAAAGTCCTGCATTTTCTACCCTACAACTGCTCAGTAAGGAACAAGCTCCTGGGTATTAACTGCAGACCAAGCTGGGCAGCTTCTCTCTATACCTCTCTCCTGTTTCACAGGTGAGAATCCACAGTGGGAAATCACCACCCAGTTTAGCTGCTACAAAAACACTGCTAAGCATTTCTTCTCGGCAGCAGCAGTAATATTTGTAACATTGCAGACTGAGACAATTTGCAGAGGTATTGTCAAACTCAAATTTATTTTAAAGCAGAAAAGAAAGTTAAAATGCCTCTGAACTGTTTCAACAGTTATTATTTTTCCTACTGCCACCACTGAGGAGCTACTAATGATTTTTAAAGGCCAGATGCTGCTAGTTAGACTAGTAATAATATTTCTTTTGCTTAATTAAATCTTCAGTTTGTACTCCAATATTAGTGTTGGTTGAAATACAGTTTTCACTGAATGAAAAATCATGCTGCTATTTAGCTACTGATGTCTATCATGGGAAAATGCAGAGTTGGGCATTTAACTGAATAGCTGATAGCTTTAATTAGCAAATCACATTTTCTCATCTTCTTTTAACATGCTAATTTTATAATTGGTTAATTATAACAGTTATTGTGGACCTCCTTCAGCAAACACTGATTCACATGCTAACACCATCAGTAAGACTAATTCCATTTATTTCAATGAAAATAAACTACATTTCAAGGATGCTGTCTCATGTGAAGTACCTTAGAAGTTATGTATTAGAAGCATTTACCTGACAGAGGCCATGCAGGAAACTCTGCAGTGCACAGGTGTATCTCACTGAACATTACAGGACAGCTGTTAAACACCTCTCAGCTGTTGTCTCTGCACCTCACATGTGCAGCTGCCTGAGAAGCAATTCTGAAGATATTTCATTGGTACAGAAAGGGCAAATTCCCAAACACTCTGAGATGAAAACTTTAATTTGTATTATGTATTTATATACTCAAAATGTTTTCAGCATTATATTTTCTGGTATTGCTGAATTTATGCAACAGCTATATTTTCCTCTGTCAATACATTTCTAGAAGTTGTCAGTAGAATAAAAACCCACTTATATTTTTTTTGGTTACTTATGTCCTTTGGATATAGTGGAAATGAAACAGCATAGCAGCCTGATCATTGAGTATGGGATGCTTCTTATCCCCAAAGTCTGTAATAAGAACCATAAAAATACCTTGACTGCAAGTGTGAGCACTGTTCCTCTTACCCCGAGCTGTTCCCCTGTTCCCAGACACACTTATCTCGGGGGTTTGGAGGGGAGGCAGTGTTTGTACACAGACCTGTAAACACAGATTTTACCTGCAGCTTTGTTCACAGAAAAAAATGCCCCCATCTGTTGCAATTTAGCTGCTTCATGAGGGTGTCATTTTGTAGCCCTAATGTGTATTTCACACATAATGGGATTATAATGAGCAGATTTCTATAGAAGATCATGCCCATGATAAATTCTTGGCTAGGTTGACATCTATGATCCCAGGCTCCAGTGAACTGGCACAGAGAATGCCAGTATGTACGTACTTGTCTTTTAGGATCTATGTGAAAGAAAAAGTACTGTAATTCACTTAGAACAACATGTCAGATTAAAGAAGTCCTCCTCAGATCAGTGTCAAAGACCCTTGAAATCTTATTTGAAATCTATGCATGGTATCAAGGCTAGTGAGCTCAAAAGCTTCCATACTTTTCACAATTATATGAGATCATCTCATAAAATGTAGCCCCTCTTCCAAAAAAACCCATCTGGTTTCTACTATCTTGATTCACATAATTCTGCTGTTATTAATTTATCTAAACTATTCTAGCTAAATGAACTTCAAACATATTCCAAAATGTTTAAAAGAAAAATTTAAATAAATGCTGGCCTTCCTGGGATATCAAACATTTTAAAATATCAAATTAGGGTTTCTCATTCACCTTCTATCCACAACCTTCCATCTCCCTGCCCTGAGTTATACGTCTCTGCAATGATATTAAAAAATCTGAAGGAATGACATCGCCTGTCTCCACAGAACAGCAACAGGATCCACTTCCTGAAAAACATGTGGGATAAGCCCTTGTACAGTGAGCATAGCAAAGTTAATTTGTAACCAAGATCTTGCTGAAATAAAGAGTTATTGCTCACCTTTAGCTTTAATCCTGGCAGGCATATTTGTACAGCTACTTGTTTGTAGGCTCCATACAAGGATAACGTCTCATAATGTAACTGGGTGGAGAATAAAAGTTTTAAAGATGGACATTCATTGTTATGCAAGCTCAGTACTGTAGATATTTTGTTTGTTTCTTATTAATCAAGCAACTAAGACTAGAAAATAGATCACAGATCACATGAGAACACTGAGCAAACTCATTAAATGCATTGTGAGTGCAATGGATAAATCTTGGATAAATCTAGTTGCTTTTCATTCTTAATATACACACTACACTGTTTCATGACATGAGGAGAGGAGGGGAAAGGAGGGAAGGGGAGGAAAAAGACCACCACCTCTTTTACCTATATTACATTATTATTAAAAGTTCCTGTGGACTGAATGTCCTAATCACTGAAGTCCTTTTGTTAAAGCCAAATATGAAACTTGGAGACATGGGATCTGGAGTAATATCCTACATGCATTCAGATCTACAGAAATACTTCAGTTACCTTTCAGGGAAGCTAAAAGTCAATCTTCTGTTCCAAACTTGTATGATATTGAGAAGTTACTTGTCCTCATGAATATTTTACTCATCAGTTAAAAGGAAAAAAATATGATGATGTTTAACCCTGTAAATGGTTTGACATGCCCTGAGAAAAGTGAATTAACTTTGAAGATGGATCTGACTTCAAAATTGGCTGTGCTGGCAGGCCAGAGAGTTTGGACCCAAAGACATCCAGAGCTCTCTTCTAGACGAATTTTTTTTGTGATTCTGAGAAACAGAGATACTAAATTAAATATGGAGCCCTGGTGTTTATCTGCACAATAGGGGTAGTAGTAAACTCTCTGTGTGCCTCAGCAGCTCCACAGTGAACTGGCACAGGAAGTAAAAGATCTGTGAGTGATCTGTAAGCAAATGTGAGAAGACATTTAGACTTCATATCAACTCAGTCCTTGGCTCCTGGGTTGCATTATAAGCAACTGCAGCAATATTTTCTGAAGGAGGAGCTTACTGTAACTCCTGAAACATAAACCCATATGTAAAATATTTCCTGGCATCCTTTCTTCAACAGCAAATGAGTGGGAAAAGGCATGGGAGAAACTGCTTAACAATGTTCTTTGATTCCTTTCTAGATATTTGGAGAGATCTGATTTTTTTGGTCTGACTGGTAGGTCTGTCATTCTTACAATGCAGTGTAGAAGCCTTGAAATAATTTCCATCAAGATATCCACAGAAGCTTGGCAATATGCAAAAGAGCTTCAGAAAGGTGGTTCTGATGGATTACTACCTTGCAGATACTAACACCATCAAGCCATACTGGAAGCATTGACTTAGATTCCTGTACCAGTTGGAATTAAACTTCTATTGACTTAAAGGTAAATTAAAACATAAGACTTGTGACTAGACAAATAAAAATGGAATTACTTCCCCTATTATTTTACATAGCTTCTCTCCTTTATGGGATGACAATCAATCTAGTGTTTTAATTCTACAAAGGTTTTATACATGCTCAGCTCCCATTGGATATAGGTGTGTGCTGTTTAGCCAAATTTCTCTAGATTACAGGTATCAGGCTTTTCAAAATCTATGCATTTACTTTTCTACCAGATTTATGGACAGATCAAACATGCATGCATAGTAGTGTCTCTTATAAATATTACTATAGATTTACGTTAAAGTTAACAGTTTCTAACAAAGACACAATGAATTTCCATTTTTTTGATTGGAAATAATGCTGTCCTTCAAATAAGTTACTAGACAGTTTTCTGGAATTAGAATAATTGAAATGATTCCTGATGAGGACCTCTGCAAGTCCTCCTGTCCAACATTGTGCCCACAGTTGGACTACTGCCAGCACTAGATTGACCCAGCCAGGATTTTGTTCTGCTGTGTCTTGAAAACCCCCACGGATGACCCGTTCCCGTGCTGCACTACATTGCTGAGGAGAAACTTTCTCCTGGTTGCCAATCTGATCTGACTGTCAAATTTTTAAATAATTCACTGCAACTAGTTGAGACAGGATCTTTAAGCTGTGGTAAATTAGACAAGCCATGTGATACAATTTCTGTTACCTAATGAGATGAATATGCAAGTGCTTCCTGACCCTTTCTTTGTCCATTGAAAGGACATAGCATTTTACAAGACTGTCAGTGCAGCAACATAACCAACAGCAAAAATCTGCTTTTTAATGATAAGACTAACCTAGTGAGTTGTTTGTTGCATAAGCTATAAAGGAAAAAAGCTCTGCTACCACCATCCCTGCCACCATCACTATCACCCCAGTGAAAAGAGTAAATACATAAATTGGTAACACAATCTACTGCAATAGCTAAAAGCCAAAATGCTGTCTGTTATTCACTAGTATTTACATACAATTAAGTAGAATCATCTTCTTACTTTGTAAGCAATAAGATTTAAAATTATTTCACGTGTTAAAAGTTCAACAGGATAAAATTATATCCTCTTGTTAAAAGATGAAGAGGTTAACTCATCATAATGAAAAATGAGAATGATCTGATGTCTACATGAAGCAAGTAATGTGGGCCATTTTATACCTCATATTTAACAGATCAACTCAGAGACTTCCAGTCATAGGAGTAGCAGGACAGGTAACTCAGTAGCCCTTTAACTGTTTTGAAAAGGATTTTTGCACTACTCCTTCATATCCTCCTTCAATGGCTCGATGATATTCAGCCCATTGTATTCCCACAGGGAAATGCACTCCCACTGCACAGCTAGAGAGTTCTCAGAAGTTCACTGAAACACAAAATCACTGATGTTTTACAGTGAGACAGCTACAGCCACCTGGAACACTGGACATCCAACTCCAGTCACCTTGCATGGAAACAGGAAAACAGACAACATGAGAAATGTAAATGCCATTATCTACATCAAAGGATCTGCAGGCTCTACACCACTCTCACTTACTGAGAGTTGGTACTCAATGCTGCAATACAGCAATGATGAAAGAATGGATCAGCAAGCAAATACAAAGGACTGCATACTGGAAGTCCAAATTACTCCATGGAAAACAACTATATAAATTACACAATTAATGATGAATTTATGCATGCTACATTTTCTCAAGCTTTACTGACAATTGGCCTCAGGACATTAACTTGGCAGAAATTATGAATCTCTGGCTATTTATTCAGATTGTACCACAAGCTCTCAGCTGACACATAAAATCTTGATAAAAAAGGAGGGTGTGTTCCTATAATATTTCATTCCCATTTGATTTAGCTGCTCTGACATTTAACCTGTTTCTTCATTAGGATTTAATTAAACTTATTGTACATACAGATATGCTAATACACATCTTTTTCTCACCACAGGATAAACAGAAGTAAAATATAAATGCAAAATTTAAGCAAAACCTAAACACCTGTTGAAGTACTTATGTTTAAAAACATTTCATCAGAGTATTGTATAATAAATTGATGAATGCAATTATGTGCATCCAAAATAGACATGACAGGACCTATCATTCAATGATTTCCTGATCTTCCATCTTGATTATGTTTATTTTGCTCCACTTCACTTCTACCACCAACTGTTACATCCCTGGGATCTGACAGGGGAATTTCAAACACACTCTGGGTCCCATTAAAAGGATGGAATAATCTCCTCAAAGAAGCAAGCCTCTGATACAACTTTTCTTTGTATTTCTCTTTTCACTGTCTTTTTCTTGAAAGTACATGGTCTTTCAAAAGTCTTGTCCAACTTGTTACTAGCAGACTCTAGAAGAACTATTATGCTAATTTCTAGGAAGATTAGATGAGTTTATTTTCTACTCTGCCATTTGTAGCTTGACAAGACAACTACAGTTTTTGCAAAGATATCTCATTTTTTTCTAGAGCACCTCTACATGTAACTGCTTGCATGCAAGACTCGAGTTTACACTGAACTGTATTTTACAGTTACAGTCACATCAGTAGAATCATCAGATTCTCACTCAAATATATTCCCTTGTTCCATTCAACAAATCCTCTCCTCACTTTAACCTCTGAGCATGCTTGACCAAAGATCTTTCTCCCTTCTGCCTGATGTTCACCTTGTATGCTGTGGAGTGTACAGTGGAAGGAAAACAGAAGCAGTGTCCTTACAGACACACCTGGCTGATACAAGAGAGCCATATGGGTTCTTGAGAAGAAACATTCTCAGAGAAATATATTGTACAGTCAGTAACTGTTCAGACAGAAAGAAGACAGATTATTCCCTTTGGCATACTGTAGAAATTTTAAATTTAAGATGCCATATGATTCACTCAGTGCATTTATCACTTAATAGCTGCAGAATCGCTTTATAAACAGAGATAATAACTAAGCACATGGCAAGCAGGTGCAATTCCCTTCCTAATAAGTTGGAGTTGTGATAATATACTGTGACAGAGCTGTTTCATAAGTGCCAGTACTACCTCACCCCCTTTCCACAACCCTCTGCTCATGTGGCACACCCTTGTTTGACAGGAAATGTCACCTTGTGTTCAGTCATTCCTTGTTTTCCTCAAGTAATTATTTCAACCACACTGTGACATAGTTAACATAGTAAGATTTTGCCTTTTCTAGGTTCAAAGATATGGTGGTGAGGAAAAGGAAAAGAGCCCTGGGGCAGACACAAGAGAAAGTGGCCTGGCACATTCTGGGAGTGTCCACCAATGACTAAAGTGAATGTACTGATAAAGCTCTGGGTGAAGTAGTTGTCTGGGACACAACTTTAACTCCTCCTTTCCATACTCTAGTGCTTTGCTTTGTGTGAGCAGGGAGTCTGAGGAGTCCAATCTACTCCTTCATTACTTTTCAGATAAATAAAATCCTAGTATCCACTATAAGCAAACATATCCCCACTGAGGAAATGGGAATAGTTAGAAGTTGGCTGAGGCTGCACATATGACAAACTGTGTTCTAAAGCTATAGGTTTCATAGTGAACTCTGTTTGACATAAATATAAATTTCAGGCATTCCTTGTTCATCCAACTTCAGCTACTCATTCTCATCCCACCTTTGGCTTATTGGACCCTCTGATTCTTCAGCACTACTATTTGTGGGGTTCCACTCTGAATCAATATTTGATATTTTGAAGTATTCCTTAAGGTGGACTCATTCCCTCATTTGGTTCAGTGGTTGGTTCCACAAAGAGTTATCCTGGCAAAGCAAGACAGTGGCTCATGGGCCAACAAGAGGGGCACTTTTGCCTCATAGTCTGGTGGATCCATGGCTTTGGGGCACAGCAGGCTCTCCTGGGGCAGCTACTGCCCAACTCCTGCAGCTGTCACTGAAGGCAACCAGGCTGCAATCACTGATGAGTCACGATGGGCAGCATTTTACATCTACTTTGTACAGACATAAACCCTAAGATGTGAGATCAGATCTTTCTGTCTCTTAAAAACGCCAGATCACTGCCTATCTATGCAGGAATCCCTGTCAGAGAGTACATCTATAGTGCCTTTTGCCATGTAGATTGCTGGAGAAGGGAATATTGTCTATAAATTAAATTCTTGCCAGTTAGATCAAAGTACCAGCAATCTGCTTTGCCCTGTGCAAGAGTAGAACTTTTCCTGGTCGGCTTCTGGCAAGAACACATAACTTCCCCTGGGAAAGACAAGGCAAAAGGACTCAATAATAAAGGGTGGAGATTTTCAGGATTATGGGTTCTGCTCTGTATCTCTCAGTGTAAGATGAGCCATTCTGTACAGGGTAATGTGATTTTAAAGAAATGATACAGGGCTTTTCTTCTTATTTAATACTATATTTGTAATACGTCAATGTGTAAATGTCTCTTTTTCTCACAACACATCCTACAAAAATTACCTTTAAAAAACAGTTTCTATTTTGCATTGGTATCAAAAGCATGAGACTTATAAATCCAAACCTTGTGAACCTGTTTGGTTTAGGGGAACAAGGTGGAGCCCACCACCTTCAGTCAAAGATTAGCTGCTTTAATCAAAGAGATGTGAACAGCTTGCATTCTCAGCTTTTGATTTCCACAAAGCCTGTTTGTTTTACTTAAGGCTAGTTTACCACGCCCCTGCTACCAGGGAATTGCTGGGGAGCTAAGCCACACCTTTAGGAACATAGCACTTCCTGCTCAGTGTAGCCTTAAAAGCAGCCTCCTATACTCCAGAGAGATAACTGGAGGTTAAAAAAACCAGACATCTACATCTTAAGATCTTGGCTGGCTGGCAAAGCCAGTGCACGTCACCTGTCTTTGTGCTCTTGTTAAATAGTTCACACAAGGTCTTGGGGAAGTGTTTACCAGAAAGGCATCTTTCAAAAGTGTTCCTTGCTTAGGAGGCTGATAATACCTTTCCTACCCTTCCATCCCTTTGGATCCAGCGCTTCCACTGGTGGTGCTTTGTGACTTGCAGAAAATGAATTGGTGGGTTCCTCTCAAATCCCTCAGGGCTGATATGTTTGCTGTAGGCTGACTGGTAGCTCCAGCAGAGAGGATAAGGTTTCATTATTTGTAAAATATGTAAACAACCCTCTCAGTGCTCTGAGGCAGCATCATGGTATAATTGTTAGATCACTTGTACCCTCCTTTTTCTGCTTCATCTGTAATTTAAATTACTATATCAAAAGATTTCTCAGTCCCAATGGTGATCAGTATTTACATAAATCTCAGGCAGTTGTGTTTGTTGCTTGGGTTTTTTACTACAGTATACTTAAAGAAACAATTTTTAAACACACACACATTCAGTACTATAAGAAAACACAAAGCACAGAACTCATTGCTGAAACTTCAGCTGCCTAAAAGTGCCTAATGCACACCTAACATTAGTACCAGGCACCATCATTCCCAGTTTCACAGATTTCCCCTTTTACCCTTCAAGATATAAAGATATAAAGATATAAAGATTCAAGATATAAAACTATCTTTTGATTTATTGTCACTGTATACTGCAAATGAGACTTCAGGTTACCACTAAGTATTTCCTACAGGTTCTGTGACATACTACAAATGACAGTAGCTTCTAAGGCTTGAGTGGACAGTAAGGCTGATTAATAAGATATGGTTACTAGCACAGCAGTGAGGTGGAGTAGGAGTGAGTAATCGTATTCTGTTGGAACTTATTCAGAATCCTCCAGCTCATGGGCATGAAAGTGTTTTGTAATCACAGCAATTAAAAGAAAAGACAGAAAATTAATAGCATTTTTGTATAAGTTTCCTTCAGAAATTCTATAAAGAGGAAAATATTTACAGGTAACTATAGAAAGTTAAAAATTTGGAATCAGTTACTCTACTGTTACTTTTGCTTTTCTGAGAAGGAATCCTGCAGTACACATTAGAATGATGTGGATTCAAAGGCAGTGGGAAGGGATACATGTCAAGAATTACAGCTTGGTTGCACAGGCCTAAAAGAAGTACAGGAGGCAACAAATACCTTTGAGGATGCCTCTCCATTGCTTCTAAGGACCAGCAGTCTCCATAGCAGTGACAGTATATTACTGGGGGGGAGAGAAGGAGGTTGTGAGCAAATACATAATGAAACAAAACTAGTGGGTGTAAAATACCCCCGTTTCATTAGTTTGCACAGTTTATCTATAGCAGTAACCAAAGCCCCAGTACACAAACAGCCTGGGCAACTGGGGTGGAGGAATGTATTCCACAGCTCTGCAGAGATCCTCATGAGGCAATACCCTTCTACTGGGATTAGTTGCCTTACTCAAGACTAGGCTCAGAGGGATTTACAAAACCACTGTATACACTCCCTCAGACATACAGTAACTTCTTCATTGTTGTGTGGACAATAAGCTCCATAAGATAGACATGTTTTTTCTCTCCTGTAGAAGAGAAAACATCCCTTCTTAAAAAAAAATCCTAAGGTATATGTGGATTAAGCAGGCAGGATTACACAGTCTCAACTGAAAAAAAACAGTGTATGACAACTTACACAAAGTGTTAAGTCCCTTTCAGGAAAAGGGATAATTAAGGCAACAGTTCTGCAAGTCAGGTCCACAGTTTCTGGTTCTTGGCCAACAAATATTCATTGTCAAGTACTGGTATTTAATATAAAATGTGCTTTTCAGTCTTTGTTTGCCTTTCCACAATACAATAAAAGCTAGATGACAAAAAAACATGAATCACATTTTAACAGGGAACTTGGCTTGGCATTGGGCATGATGGTTTGTGCAAGGCCTTAGGAATACCGAAATAAAGGATATGTATTGGAATGCTCCTAAACTCATAAAGTCACGGTTGCTACCTTCATTTTTAATATGAAACAAGAAAATGTGTGTATCAAGATATTGTAATGTATCAAGAAAGATTAGTATGGGGATGGTACATTGGAGTTTATTGGATCCACTGTCCTTAAGTGAGACAAAACACAGTAATTTCAAGAGCATTGTTTACACAGGAAAAATCAGAGGTCAAGGATCTATTAGTTTAATTTATTTAGCCCTTTAGAGGATAAAGACATGTACTGCTTGAACTGCTTCAATGAATTCAACATCAGATTTCAAAGAATCAAAATCTAAAGGTTCACTTTCCCAATCTATTCCCTAGATAAAAATACATCTTATTTAAAACAAGGTAAAGTTAATGTTTGAATAATAAGCTCATCAGAAGATAAGATCCCATATATCTACATGCACATATACACAACTCCTTTGTTATACATTCTTTTTCATTCCTCACCTTTCTGTTCCCTCAGAGTTTTCAAGTTTGGGCCAAAGGGAGATACTTGATCTGTTCCTTTTTAGCATCTCTGACTTCCTTAATCTTCCTTTAGTTTCTGTTTTTCTATGCTTTCTCTCAAGTATCTGAAAATGCAGAATATTAGCTGAGTATGTAGCAACACAGAACGATCAAATGTCTGTAGAGATCACAAGTTTCCCACACTAGTATTACAAGCATAAATCAAATACATATTTCACACATAATTCACAACACTTACTGCTGTCTTCCCCTGCCCCCAGCAAAAGGAAAGGACACTTCAAAGAAAAACTGCCTTAATAGTGTGAATTCACATCTGCTGTAAGGCCATGGTACACTCCATTTCACATTTGACTTGAATGTGACTCGCTCCCTTTTCTACCAGCAGTACACACAACCTTTCTGGGGAACGACTGCCTAGGAGAGACATGCTCCTTCCACAGAAATGATTCTTTAGGATGCCTTTCCTCCACCCCTCCCAGCAGTGCCTTCATGTTTAAGCAGCTTCACTCTGAAGTTACTATACCTATGCAACTGTTGCTCATTGTGTAGCTCTTAATAACTGCTTTTCATCTGGATAATGCTGCTGTCACGTACTCTGCATAAGGCTACACCTTAAAAACCTAATAAAATGAAGTTCATGTCAGAACAGCAAGAACTACTTCTGAACTGCTTGACTGAAAGCAATTTTTTTTCAAATGTTTGTTATGAAGAACAAGTACTGCACAGGAGGGGTGTAGAGTCACTTCTCTTTTTTTTCTCATTACTCCTTCCTCTGTGGAAGGAATTTTTCCCCATTACTCCTTCCTCCTTCCTACACATGCCACCATATGGCCACAGTTGCAGTCCATGTGTCTCAGTCTGATATTCTTGATACAAGAAAAGGCATGGCTGGCAGAATTCTCTGTGAGGATTCAGAAACTCAGGATATCTGCTCACACTTGAAAATAGCATGAAATTGTATTTTAGCCACAATTCAAAAACATCTTCTCAACAGGGCCTTTGGAAGGGGATGAGGATATGCTATGATTGATTAAGAACACAGAAAATAATCCTGTGTATTTCAAATCAACTCCAATGGCAGCTTTAGACCGAGGCTGGATCATGACTGTATTTTTTTAGGGCATGCAAAGATTCCAGATATGAGTAAACCACACTCCTGCAAAAGCTCTTGTATTTCTTAGCATTCACACAGTTTCTCAAGAGGTTTCACTGGGACATGACAGAGTTAACTTCTTGTATTCAAATTCAACTACTTCTTCCTGCTAACCAAACTCAATAAAAGTCAGCAAATAAAAGACTTCAGTGGGCCTTGTAAAAACTCATTTACTAATCCTGAATAGAATATGGGTGAATTCCTGTTAAAAGTTAAAGCAAAACCTTTATTGCCATTATTTTTATATCAATTAGCTATATTGTACTTCCTGGACTCTGGATCCATTCCAAATAAAGAATGCAGTGCTAGTGTTATATTCCATGGATCCAACTCCTTTGCACTATTCAGGTGCATTTCATTCCACCACTGTAACTGTGCAGTGATTTTAGGTTTTAAAGACATTTGTAATATTTGCCTTCATTTTGAACATTTCAAAACTGTGTCTTTTGCCCATGGCTAAAGGGTAGAATGATATGAATGGACCAGAACTGCCATTTAACCTGCAGAAGGTGCCACACTGGCTCTGGGATCAGTGCAGGATGCTCTAGACGCTGCCCTGGCTGGGCCAGGGAACTGTGACCCTGTTGTATGAGGTGCTGTGGAAGATGACACAGCAACCACAGCAGGGCTCTGCAGCCCCTGCCCCACCTTCCAATCAAATGCTAAGTGCTAGCAACTGAAGCAACAGCCCACAATGAAGTTACTCCTGTGTACTCATCCAAAAATTAATCCTAACTTGTATGTTGTTCAGGAAATAGCAGAAGTAACATTAAGCTGTACCTCAACTACTTTTATGGTTGGACCACTGTGCTGATCAAACACCAGTCAGATTTACAAAGTCAGTCTTAAACGACTAACTTCATGAGAAGTTAGTCTTGTTTGTTACAAAAGAAATCTTGCTCACAGTTGCACAATATCCTTTGCCTTCTCTTTCTCTTTGCTTTCTTCAGCTTAATTCTCATAATTCTCCCTAATGTCTTGGGAAGATGACAGTCAAATGTTACTCAATGATTAGACTTTTCCCTTTCCCCCAGATTTGTGTGTTCTTTGGGCCAATTTGAATTTTTTACCCTGGAGAAGAATATCAAAACAAGTAGCTGTATCTAAAATGTACAGTAGGCATGTTCAAACAGTAATAAGTCTCACACTTCTTTTGCACTACAAAGAAAACCACAGGATAATAAACACATCCAATTTTAAATATAAAATATGTATGTTTATATACATATAATAATGACATGTGGGAATCTGATACAAGACTTCCATAATATAGAGGTGATGGATAGAGGCCTCAAAGAGCCCATGGATATTCTTTCCCTTTCCCTTTTTAAACAGGCATTTTTCTTTACAGCCCACCCAGAATTAGCTCACCATTGAAAATGTTCTTGGGCAGTAACTGCATGATACACCCAAGGCAAGAGGACAAACATACTCCTCTTGCAATTGCACCGCTGTACAGTTTGTCTCCATGAGGCAGAAGGAGAAAAAGAATATTTCAATTCGTTAGAAAAGAAAAAAATCTGAGTATTTTACTTGAATTATCATTAAAAAAAGGAAAATTTACAGTCCATAAGAACATTCAGCAGTTGCAGCATCTGTTAATAGAAACACTCCATCTTGTACTTAAATGGTAAATGTCCATTTATTTGCTCAGTTTAGCTTTCATCATTACTACATTAAACCTTAGAGCTGAGTAGGAACAGCATCCTCTGCTGGAACATTTGCCATGATGTAGATCAAGGTAGTCAAGCTGTGATCCGGAAGGAAAACACAATTCACAACTTAGCTCTCCTGTGGCCTACATATAACAATTTTTCATATTTTGTCTGACTTGTAACTAGTTAACACATAACTGTGTTCTAAGAGTTGGCCTAGCAGAAGCATTTCAAAGATCTATTCAGCTTTAGGGTAAGGAAAACATTTCCAGACCTGGTATAGACCAACAGGTCATGTGTGACAGCATCTTCAACAGCCTCAGCAGCACTGCTAAGAGAATGCAGGACTAGGGTGTATGAAACTGTGGCATTCATAGGAAGCTGATACACTGCTCTGCCACTTTTCATCTTAGTGGGCATGACATGATGAGACTACTGCAAAACTGGCTGAGGGTAGTAAAGTCTCTCTGTATTTGATTTAATTGCATTGTAGTACCAAGAGAAATTTTTAAAACCTTAATACTGAGATGATACCTAAGTCTAAAACTTCAATGGTTTGGACAGTTATCAGACAACAGGCTCACATGACCACCTGGAAATCTCAATTGAATTGTGAACTTAAACTCTGTTCAGAAAAATCTTAAATATGACACATGCCTTTTCAGGCAAAATTTCCAAACATAATTTTTGAAGTTAAATAGTGCAGCTAAGCTGGTTTGACAGCTCCCTACTGCCAGGAATGGGAGGTCCTCCTTGTTTCTCCACACTTCTTTTTCCCAGCTTCATGTATCCCACCTCTTTGTACCTGCCACAGTTGTGGTCAGACTTCAGCTCAGCCAATGCAATTTGTTAATCCACCAGTAAAACACATTTTAATCAGCAGCCAGGCTGACTTAGTTCTACAGAGTCTGCTCCTGCCAGAGCCTACATAAATAGATGGGTTTACAGTCAGGAGTGAGAGCAGAGTCTCCTTTCAGCAAACACTAAGACTGGCCAAAGCCATGATGCAACCCTTTTCTCATTACTCACACACTGTAAAAAGCTGGGCTTGTGTTTGTGACCAGGAGTTCAGAACTTGTTTTGGCAAGTAAAATTTTTAGGGAATTTTCAGAAGCCTTGACTCCCCAACTTTCCTTTAGCTAAATAAAGTTGTAGTTTTCACAACTTTTTTCTTTTTGACAGTTGGTTGGGGCCAGAAATGCCATTTTAACTACAAACTGCTTTAGCAAGTACTGCCATGAAGAGGAATGAACACAATGTCATGCCCTTATAGGGCCTTTCAAACAAATAATTTAGTATGGGAGTAAAGTAAGGACAGACTTCCTCAAGGAAATTCCTTAACTAAAGTGTTATTGCCTACATCCTAATCAGTTTAGTATAGACCATATTGATTTAAAGACCTAACAGTAATTTACTTCAGATGCATGTACAGAAGGAGACAAAACAATAAAACAAGAATAAACAGTAAGCAGCCAAATTCTTCATTAGTTAATGGGTCACGCACTCATAGCTACTTAACAGGATTTTGAAATACCCACAGCAACTCTTTCAGCCCAAGGCTCTTTCAAATTACTTCTGGAATTTTACATTTTTCAAATCTTTTGAGAGTGGTAGCTAGAGTACAGATGAAGGAAAGAGCTGAAGAAAAAGAATAGTACAGCACTACGCTTAATTTATTTATACCATCAATGCCTGAGAAAGAAATTGATCTTGAACAAGAATGTCAGCACTTCTTTCCCAGAACATCACAAAAACCTGATGGTATGAAGGACAGATCTTTACAACATATCAGATGCACAAGAACATGTATTTTGAGTGCTGCCCTCAGGTAGGTCTGAACATACACCTATAGCAGTATGCACAGACATACACTTTGAACAGTTGCCTTTTTTACAGTATAATTTTAGTTTGCTATGAAATTATTCAGGTTGTTAAGAAAGGACTCCTTATGGTAGGAATAGTCCTTTTATAAACATCCTGTCCCTATTTGTTAACCAGCTTTGCTTATGAATAAATACCATGCAGCTTTTTTCCTCCTCCTCCCCACCTTTTAAGAACAAAAGCAGCCTCGGGCCATCGAGTCTTCCCCATCACCTCTTAATCTCTGGGAAACAGCTTCTTTCTCAATTGTTGTTGCTTAACTAATGCAACATTTAACGCTGCAGATGAATCAGCACTGAGCTACTAGTAATCTTCTGACTACTGATGCTTCAGCTCCACCATTCCAAATTTACTAATGAATGAGTCAGGACTCAGGTGAGCTCCATTTTGGGAGGTCATTCCAGAGCCAACACTTGCCTGTGATACTTTCTGATCTCTCCTCCCTTGGACTCTGTCTCTAGATTCTGCTACATGCAATTAATTTCTGTGATGTAGTGTATTCTGATTTTCAGGACCCGTGACATCTATATGGGGTTTGTTCTTATTTGTCAGGTCCTAGATGATGCTTTGAAGTTAAGGGATTCAGGGTTTAGTACAATACCTGCAGTGATTCCCTGTATGACCTTACTAAAGTTCAAAAGGAAGTATTCTGTTGGTCAAGCTATTGAAGAGACAGCAGTTCCAGTGAACAGAAAGTTTCTCTTTCTCATCTGAACTAAACAAGAAACTCCAGTGTATTATGGAAACAAAAAAAGGACAGATTTGTTATGAACCCTTTCCTCAACAACATGCATATGTATTTATATATACACATATATATTTTAAAATGTAAATTATGTAAGTATTTATACACATACACTTTTTTCTCCCAAGCAGTTATTCAGAAGGGTGGACAAGAATGAAATCCCTTCATATTTTAGGTGGAGTTCTAAATTGCTCCTGTGCACAACTTTTCTTTTTTTCCACCCCTCAGTTTCATTGAGCAGAATGGCCAATATGTAATAGAAATAGCATCAGTCAGCAAGATCTTGTCTTCAACTGTTAACACTTTTAATCAGCAAATAAAATTACCTAGAAATCAAAAAAGAACCCCCCCCCCCCTTTTTTTTTAACTCCTATTCTTGTACCTCCCCATGTCCCATCCAGGAAGAACACACTGTGTTTTCGGTAACTGCTCTATTAATGCTTCTCTTCAGTCTCCACATGACCGCAGCCCCCTCCTCCGGGCCGCGGCTGCGGGGCTGCGTTTCTCGAGCAGCCTCTGGTGGTTCTCGCAGGAGCCACCCTGGAGCTGTGTGTGCTGCTCTCACCTGGAACTGTGTGTGCTGC